GTACACAATACTCAAGAATCAGCGGTGTCCCACAGTGAAGTCCCCCACTGTAGACCGTCTGGGCAAATGTACGTATTTTGTTCGTGTAGCGGTGCGACCGCCGTAAACCTGCCCGAGTAGCGTCGTGGGCCGTAACGCAAACACGCGCCTGGACCGGGCCCAAAAGGTTGTCTCCGGGTACCACATCAGGATTTTGCTAGACCCTCGACCCATCACTCACAGAGCGGTAGCGAATGAGCTTTTTATAAACAAAGAAGGCTTGCTCCCCTCTATGCTGCCCCAGAACGCCTTGTTGGAGATTTATCATTTTCTTCGTGGGTACAGTGACGTGACCATACCGAAATGGACCAATCCGTGTAGCTCCTCACCCACACTCTGTCAGCGGCGAAACTGTGACGCGCTGGGGGGGGCTAGTGGAGCCTCGCAGCGGCAAAACTGTGGCGCGCTTACACTGTAGGTGCGCAACGGGTGCTAGTGGAGCCTCGCAGATGGGGGTGCCGCAGCCCCCTCAGCACTCCCGCGTCCATTCGCGATGTTTCGCTGTCTCGCAGACCCCACGCCGCAAGCAGAAAATGAACCCAGCTCACAATGTCCGCTCCTCACAGCAGCGAGCCGCGCAACGTCCCGCCAACACGGCACCCAGACCCCACGCAGCATTCTCATCTGTTTCTCATTACTGGTGTCATTTTCTGGTTGCTAACGCCATTGTAACACATAATCACTGATGTTCCGCTGTAACGTGGTGGACTCATCAGGACACAGTGGGCTCATAGGGAGTGTGGGGGGCAGGAGCTCCAACAAGCCGTTTAGGACAGAGTGAATACACATACTATACAGAGATGCTGTATGATGTGAGTTTGGAAAACTGCACAATATAAATCTATTCTAGTATACCTCAACAATGGAATTATGATTAGTAGAAATGGCCAGGACATGAGACCTTTAAATGGGATCATAATTTCCAAAACATACATGGTTTAAAAAAAAAGATCTTGACAATTGTGGTTGAGAAATGAACTCACCATGAATTGTAAACTAAGGTAATAAATCAGGCGAGAAGGAGTCAGAAGGGTGATTTTTTTCCCTAGACTTTACAACAATCGGATTCTTTTTGCAACCAGTGAAGTCGCCCCCTGGCGGTTTTTTGAAATAATGCAGTTTTAAGGCATGTTGGATTGACTTCACCTTCAGCCATGGAGAAAACCTGAAAACTCTGGAAAAGGCATGTACTGTAAATGGACCCTGAATTGGGATTGTTTCATAAAAAAAATTGTTTATTTTTGCACAATTATTGTTGCTTTTTTTCTGAAAACCTGTATTTTAGTCTTTCCTTTCTTTTTCTTCTTTCTTTCATATTTTTTACTTCCAAATTAAGTGTAAATGGTACGTGCACAATTGTTCAACCTTGTCTTAAAATAGAAATGTAGGTGCCCAAATGAACACTGATGAAGGTTTTCCTTGCTGTAATAATTTGTGCATGTTCATACTGTGTCCCGATCAGTCTGTATTTTGAAGTGTCAAGATCTGTCTGTTTGCCTGTTTTATTTTGAAAGGTGTTCACCCTCTGTTTTTAGTCGGTGTAGCTTCCTGTCTCTGTGTTTTCCCTCCTGTCTGATCACTCTGATTCTGTTCACCTGGTGCCCTTGTGTTTTTCCTTTCCTGCCCAGCTGTGTCTTGTCCGCTGATTAGTTCTGCATGTATTTAACTTCTGGTTTTCTGTGGTTTCTTTGAGTTTAATAAAAAGAGTGTTCTGGTATATCCAGTCAACCTTGAATACAAACCATTGTCTCTCTTCACTTGGGTCATATACTTTCCTAATGTGTTTTCTTTAATAGAAGTGAGGGGAAACATAATTAACAGTCCTCATTCCATGTAAAAAAATACATTCTTTCAAGGCTTTTATTGTCATTTTTACATAGCTACAGAGTGTAGTTATGACAATGAACAACGTCACAGGCTCTTCTAGCACTGCAAAACAATAAAACAGATAAAACAGTGCAAATAAATAAAATAAAATAGAATTTAGTAAAAATAGTGCTCTTATTACCAGACGTACATTTTTCCACTTCAATATTCTGAGTTCAAAAATGTCTTTTGTGTTTCCCAATCATAATGAATCACCCACTTTTTGGAGGAAACAGTGTCAGCAGGCGGGGGCTCGGTGCCAAAGGTGTCCGCTCCTCAGGTGTCAGCGGCTGGCCGTGTGAAGAGAGCAGAGAACAGGAGATCAACAGCCTGGAGGTATCAGATCACCTGGTGGAAAGAGACATTAAGCTGCTTAGCCGGTCAAGACAACAGGTAAGATCTCTGTCCTGTCAGGGTTTGATGGGAAAATGGTGACTGAGGGGGAAAAAAGACCACCATATTAAAGTAAATAACATTTAAAACATGTTTAAAGTGGTGGGTACTTATATACATTGTTCTTTACTTTGCTTGAATATTTTCATTATCCACTATTTTAAACTTTAAAGAAAATATGTTAATGTTTTTCTACTCCACAAAATGTTACAGACAGATAACTTCAGAATGAGACTGTATTTAACCAACTTTTAAGGTATAACATGAATAACATTTGTCAAACTAAAGGATTAAAATACGCAGTCATTTATCTTTCCTTATATTTTTTATGCATCTTTGTGCTGATTTTTTCATAATTTCATTTCAGTAAAATCTTTAGTGCATCACATAGGCTACTTCTTTTACTTAAGTGAACGTTCTGAATACTTTACAGGAAATTAAAAAGGTGAGTGATAAATTGTACAAAGGCACTGGTAGGAATGACATTTGGTCCCACTGAACACATCAACACATGGCAACTATTTGTTGTTTCTTTTCCGCATTTTTGTTGTGCTGATGCTCTGGGAGAAACTGCAGGTTGTTCTCTTTCCAGCCACTAAAGGGTGCAAGGAAGTTTATGGTGGTATGGTTACTGCAGTAAAGTGATTATCTGAGAAACTTCAAAGCCCCAAAGTCCCATATTTCTGGAATTTGACCATCTGAGGCTAACTCATGCATACAGGGGCTTCTGATCCCAGGTCTGCTGTCTGCCGGCTGCCTCCTCTGCAGCCCAGCAGATGACACGGCCGCGTACGAAGTGATTATGTTACAGATACGTCACTGACAGGCTGCCTGCAGACAAAGGAGGTTTGTAAGTTAACAGTGGGGAAACTAAATTATTGGTGTTAAGACATAATTAATTTCCACCTGTACACTCAGTAGTCTAAGCAGTTTACCGTCATCCTCAGGCAGTATTAGGTCAAATCATATATTTAAAAGCATGAAATGGTGTATTTTAAGAATTGTGTGTTAAAATATATATTTTCTTTTTGTTCATCCTTAGTAATCAATGAGAAGAACTAGGAGAAACAGCCAGAGTCTCCTCCAGGATCTCTTTTATAGAGGGGTCCACGGAGAGGACAGAGATACCCCTGTGAGTGTCTGACTCAAGTTTATGATCCATGTCTCGCTTACTTTTAGCTTCTCTAAAGGTTGTTTCACTTTCAGATCCCAGCTCAGCCCGGGAGAGATGCTAAAATGATTTACTCCATCGCTAGCCTGATCAGAGCGAAGAGCAAACTCCTCGTCCTCGAGAGCCCTGACACTGTGGAGATCTACAAGGTATAGGCTTTCAGCTTTTTCACAGATAATTATGAGTTTTTATGACCACAAATGCTTTCAAATTATTATTTTGTTCTTTTGCAATTATGATTTTATTTATTTATTTATTGTATTGTCATGTTATCTATATTTATGTATTTTGTTCAACTACAGTATTATGATTTATTTCATTTATTTATCATTATTCATTTCAACAAGTTAATGTTACAGTATCAGCAATAACTACTAAAAATTCAATTTCCTCATGCCATGATATAAAGCGATGTACGTGAATTATTTGTAAAAAAGTAGTACTTTCAGTATGTTTTTTTGTGCTGTTAAAGAAGGTTATAGGGCTTACATTAAGATCAACTATGGTGTGAGATGGATTCACCCCTTTATAATTTGTTGTACCCTTAAAAGCTGGATGATGCAACAACCCGTCCGAGCAGAACAGGTAAAGACGATGTTAACCTGCCAGCCATCACAACGAAGGCGTCGAGTCTAAGTTCACTCAGAGGGACGCTGAGTCAGTCCTGTCCTTACCTGTATGACAAAAGAAGAGGGTCTTTCTCATCGGTTAACTCTCAGAGGACTGGGGTTCACCCCAAAAAACAGGTAATCTCACATCTGTTAAATTTAAATGAAATCAAACCTAATTCAAAGTCAACCCTTTTTTTGGTATTTCCACTGTCTTCTTCCAACATATTAGAATAACCTAAAGGCACAAAAAGAGGCCAAGAAATCCAACGTCACTGTGACAATGACCTACCTGGGACAAGGTCGTCGGGGGTCAGGGTTGGGGTCAACTCAAGATGAGCTGAAAGTACTCCAGCAGGTCAACGGAGGGGAGAACATCTGTGTCTTCAAAGGCGTGGTGACTCCCGGAGGTAGGAGCTGTGAAATATGTGCCTGTATTGCCAGAATGGCTTTCAAATGTGCTCAAAAGAGTATTTAGTGTCATTATCAATCATAGGTGAGTGTAATTAGAAGTGTTATCCACCTTTTACATGTTTAATTACTCATCTGCCCTCAAAGCAACATTGTGAAATGGGTGGTGAGGATCTTTGCCTGAGGCAGTTGAAGTAGTTTGAAAGAAGAACTGAGGGCTGATGTTTGACCTGATAAACTAAGTCAGCAGACAAGACTATAACATATTTTTTGCTGCTACATCACGATACACACTGTACAGCTATCACTTGGTGTCAGGCAGGTGTAATAGAAAGATGTTTTGTATTTCTGCTGGAAGTGTGTGTGTGCGATCTGATAACATAATCTTCTGTAGCTCTGTGAGATGAAGGAATAAAACAAAGCAAGTGTCTATAGTATTCAACAAAGCTTTTTTATGACGTTATTTTTACTTTTAATTGATTTGTATTGCATTGATACTACACTATACCCTTTTTTGCACTGTTTACATATATTTATGTATTTGTTGTAAAAGAAGGTTGTTGAGGACAGACTAAGAAGAAATATTCTCTAAGACAGACCTTGACAGTGTGTTCTATAGATCATGCACTGATTTTTCAATGCTAAATTTCCAGATTGTGGTTAAGGTATATCTACAGAAGTTTTGAAGTTACCGGTACAGGACAAAGAAGTCAATGATTTAGTTTAAATTAATAAGTTGTGTTACATACGAACTCAAGTTACGTGACAAATAAATACATTTTTGTATCACATTGGGCACACAGAGTGGTATTCTGGGTTGAAGCTGATGTTTTTGGACCCATCTTCAACCTTACCTCTGCATAATTGTGATTCTTAATAATTCCTGGTTCACAATTATGTGGATTACCAACTAAACTGACCGTCCAGGGTCCCAAGCAAAAATACTTTCAACATCAGCTATTTTATGTCCTTGCTGCTACAAAGCCAATTGTCATAAAACACCATGAGCTTAGAACAAAAGGAAAACCCTATTTAAACCTTTTGATCTTCACGTCAAGCCAAGCAAAGAAAGTTAGATAACCACAAGGGATCTGTTAGAACAATCAAACATAATCATCTTCAACCTTCAAGTGTTTCATAACATTTTCTCCTTATGTTTCCCAGAGCAGTTCCAGTTCATCTCTCAGAGGCACAGAGGTTTCCCCTTCAGTGCTACGTTGTACGTTAATGGCATCATGGTGGCCAGAATCAGTTCCTGCTGCGAGTACCGCTACGCTCCCGGCTTCCAGCAGGGCAGGAAGAGCTGCTTCAGACTGGCCTGGCTGGCTGGTGGGCTGCCCTGCTACAGGTCAGATTTCAAACTCTGCCAGCATTTCATTGGCAGAATATTCGAAAATTAGCTCCAGTCAAAACCAATCGGGTAAACCCATTGCTCTGCAGATATGATGTATTGTTGGCCGCCAATGGAGGATGCATATTGCATGACATGAGGGGATAGTGTTGGTGTTGGTACATGGGAGGGAATGTGAGTCATAATGAAAGCATTTTTTCATCTTTTTCAGATGTACAAGTCTCCGAAACAAAAACAGCTCCTGCCAGCAGTTGAAAAACAGCACAAAGGAGAACTTGATTCTCCCTGTAGAGCAGAGCCCTGGCAATGGTACAAAGCCTGGAAATGATTGTCCCAATTTTCCATTACTTCCTAAAGCTTATTCATCAAAAAAATGTCAGGCCCATTCCTTGATTTCAATGGACTAGTTTAAAGACAAACCGTTGTACAAAGCATTTTTTTCTCTCTTTTATTTTGTGTCTCCAATGCAGGCTCTGCAGAGTCATGTCCATCAACCCCTCTGTTTATCCCAGCCAAACCAGAGAAGAGATCATCAAGGAGGACGAGAAAACACATCAAGGATGGAGGTGGTGGATCTACAGACAGCGAAGACCCCGCTGTAGCAGGGATTAAAGAGACCTCCAAGAAGAAACGACGAAAGGGTCAAACTAATCAGAAAGAGAGCAAAGGCAAGACAGCTAGAAAGAAAATGGAAGAGGAAAGAGACAGCAAGGGCTCGGAGGTCTCGCAGAGGTCAACGGCGACAGTAAAATGTGAAGAACAAGCATTGAATCCAAGACATGAACAGATACAGAAGAAAACAACCGGCAATGTAATGGCGCTGCAGACAGAGAAGCCAACATTAAACAAGACAAGCAAGGTTCTTTGTAAGCACAGTTTTTATTTTATCATTTATTTTCCAGCTGCTTTTATTCCATCTGCATGTGGTATTTCCATTGAATGTTTCTCGTCGGCTGAAAACATAAATAAGGAACAAGACTTTTTCTTTGCTCAGATTCATTGCAGGATGAGGAAACGCTGACTAAGCGGAATGGAGAGAAACAGAAGGAGCTGGGATCAAATGGGAAAAACAGAGACGGGGAAAGACTGAAGGACTTCTATAAAGAATGTGTGGAAATGAGCACCGCGCTGGAGAAGGGCCCGAACAAACACAACTGGTTCAAGGCAAACAGTGAGTAAAAAACTGCAGCATGGAAATCCCTCTGGAGTGCTGTTACTGATTTATGTAATACACTTAGAAATAAATTATTGAATTTGCTTAATAAGTGATAGATTGATCAATGTGTGCTTGAAGGAAGACAACATGTGGGACAGGTTAGATCTGGGCGATGTGAAAAAAATACTACTATCATAATATCTTTGATATTGATATCCTTTCAGTATTGCAATGTTGATCGTTGATGCTTTAACAAAATGTTATCATAATGTGAATTTTGATAAATAATCACAATTAAAATAGATATAACGTCTAAGATTGAAAAGAGTTAATTCTGGTAAATTCTGAAAATGACTTCACTTTACTGTAATGCAGCTTTAAAACCAGCCAAGCCAAACCTATGATAATATCCAAAATCTAACACAATATCTAGTCTCTTATCATGATATCAATATAATATTGATATCTTGCCCAGCCCTAAGAGAGGTTATTAATCTTTTTGTTTCACATGCACGTGCCTGCTGTTTAAATAGTCAGCAGATCTGTTTCCTCTATTGAACATGAATGCTCAAATTGAATATGAGATTTTATTATTACATTCTCACACCAACACTGGGTATTAATATTGCTGTGTGCACTTGGCAATAGGAGAGAAAGTTTGATTACGCCTGAGTTGTTTTTGTCCCTCTTTAATGCCAAGTCCTGGAGAGGTGCCGCCTTCAGAAGAGCCTGTCATCGTTCCCTGGAGCGCCAGGCTCAGATGTGGAGCGCAGTGCAGAAAGTGACACGGTCCTGCAGCCTGATGGAGAGCCAGAGGAAGAAGAGGACACGGCCAGCCAGAGTGCTGGCAGAGAAGAGCCTGTTAGAGAACAAGACCTGCAGGCGCAGGTGTGTGTACGACACAAACTACTGTGGTGAATCTGTGTTCTTGCCAGAAAAAGTTATTGGCATTAAATCACCCGAATGGGGGCCAAATGACCCCATTCCTGCATTATGCAGCAGCGTGCATACATTTTTGTTAGAACTGGTGATCGAAGTGCCAAATAATAAAATAAAGTGTTAATATAAAATCATACATTTTCCGTTAGTGTGAAGTAGTTACAGGCAATATTTTTGTATGATGGTCATTCAGTAGTCACCCTTATGTGATAAAACTGAAAAAGCGGAAATGCTATTCGTTTATATATCAGTTTCAAAGGGATAATCAAGTATATCAGTGTCAGTATTTTAGAAATGTTTTTTTATTAAAAAAATTCTAATCTATGACAATTACAGGAAGGGCCTTTACCTCATTAGCATGCATCATTTAACATTGTAACAAAATAACCATTATTTGGAGGTTAACACACATAGTGGTAACAAATGGTCACTGAGTTTTATCTGGGACAGGCAGGCGTTTTCGCATCATGATGAAAAACCTTCCAATAGCTGCTGAAAAATTCCTCAAGGTCTAGCAGAGTGGCATGGTGGAGGTGGCCGACAGCCAGACATGTGTCTCTCTGTACTCTCGGCCCGTCTTTGTGTTTAGAAAACCTCCAGCACCTGCCCCGCTCACATCTCACTCTTGGCCACATGTTGGAGTTATGCTGCTCTCACACTCAAACTATGAACTACTTAAAGGGGCCCATTTTTCAATCACTTTTTTATTCCAAAGGCCTAAGACAGTCCAAAAATATAAATACACATGAGCAAGCTTCCCCATACACGATGAATTGTGAAAAGATGATATGAATAACACTAAGAGGACATAGGGGAATGTATGTAGAAATGTTCTGTTCCAGAGCTGATAACACAACAATAGGAAACTGCTCAATTGGTTATAACAAGGAAAAAAAACATTCTGTGGGTCTCCTGATGACATCACAGGTTTCAACTTCACTGGTTTCTGGCTTACTCTCACACACATTGATGCAACCTTCCCTGGCCATGAAATCAATGTAATGGAATTCTTATTTTTCATCATATTCTCCTTTTAAGTTTTCCAAATGATATTCTTGGGATCATGATGCAAAATGGATGTATCCTACAAAACTTTCTGCCTGGCAAATTAGATAAACTAGAATCTCAATAATGTACTTATTGGTGATCCTTGCAACATCATGTGGTAGCCCATAAACCAGCAAGGTCATGAAATAGAAAATATATTTTTCACTCCTCCCTACCTTTCTCATGTTTTGCACCCCTAGCTGGACGCCATGATGACGGTGCTGAGCACGTCCGATGAGGTGGAGCAGCTGGTACTGAGGAACACAGACCTTACAGACGAGCTTCTGCTGAGCCTGGCGGGCGCCCTGAAGAGCAGCCTGTCCGAGGTCACGCTGCTAAACCTCAATCTGAACCTTATCGGCCCATATGGGGCCCACATCCTGCTGGACGTTCTGAGAGTGAAGCCTCAGGTCAGAGGCTTACAGTAAGTCCCAGGCGCCACTGATCTGCACCAAAATCTGAGAAAGAGTGATAATCTGGTCAGTTTTTCTGTATTCAAAAAGTACGTTGAATAACAAGGATAGCCTCATCATTGCAGAATAACATCTTAGCCTTTCACTGTTGAATTACAGAATCCATCTCTTTTATGTGAATTAGAAATGCCTCCGGTGACTTACCTTTTTGAATTAGTATAACAAAACTGTGAATGAACAGGCAAGAACTTTTTTTATGACATTGATTCTGACAGTAACTTCTATTGCATAATGAAATGTGTGAGAGATATGGCTCAAGTGCCGCTGGACATCACATGCAGAGGTAGAGTAAATGCAGCGCAAAGGAATAGTTCATCAATTGGGAAAATACGCTTCTATGCTTTCTGGTAAAGAGTTAGATGGAAGATAACCTTTTGTTATCTGCCCATCAAATATAGAGCTGCAGCTAGTTAGCTTTGCTCGGCACAGCTCTGAGCAGTTGTCAGGCAAGCAACGCACACTCCAGGAAGTTATAGTCTGAGCCAAATATTGTCTGGCAAATAACCTGGACTGTAGTTTATATATTTTTTGATTAAATAAACAAAAAATGTACAGCGGTTTAAACATTGTCATGAAAGGAATGAAATAATTTACCGAACCATGATCAAAATGCACATAATGTATACATCTCAACAGCCTAGAAGGATATTCTCAGAAGTGTGAGAATGTTCAATCTTTTAATTTAAAAAAAGCAAACCAAATAAACAAATGATCAATATCATTTCTGATGATCAGATATCATTTTCCAATTTGAACAACCTTTGTGGCAGCCCTAGAGGAACATGGTTTATTTTCTTTGTTTTCATGTGATCGGATTACATTTGTAAAGTAGTTTACGTCATTGGTTTAAAATAACAAATGTGGTTCAGATAACAAGATCACATGTTTCTCTAAATCTTAAGATAACTACATGTTCTCTAGATAAGAACAGTATACATTTGAGAGCACAAGAAAACTAAATTAAACGTAATAGCCTAGGTCTAGCTTTATATCCAGTTATTAAAAATGCTTGTTATTTCTAGAAAAATATATAAATAACTTGGTATTCAATCATGGGAATTCAGGGACAAAATGTTACTTTAAACCATGGCCGAGTAGCATTTCTGCAGTTCTTAAAGCTGTGAAACATACATAATAGTGATGTGACGTTCACGAACGATCCGATCATTTTGAAAGGCTCTTTGGTACGAAAGAAGGGAACCGAGTCCTACATGGTGAGAGCCGTTCTTTTTATCGTTGGTTCACTGCCGGCCACAAATCCACTCGCCTTTAAAGGAACTTGCTTTCCTGAATGCAAATTTGCCATAGATGATGATGATGGCATAACGCATGCTGCTTGAGTAGTAGTTTGGCTGGCTGAGAGATGTAGCAAGTTATACATTTTCTCTGAGTAAAAGTAGATTTCTGGCAATACAGTCAATCATTATCCTGGTGATTATTTAGCAGATACACCTATTAACCCCGCCCCCTTAAAAAAAACCCTGGCTCTTTTGAACGGCTCTCGGAAAGGAACGGAGCCATAAGATCTGGCTCCCTTCAAAGAGCCATCACTAATACAAATTAAACTAATACATACAAAAAGAATGTGAAATTGTCATACAGGGGGAAACATGATTTTGTATCAGGGTGCAAGGCCACACAGTTAAAAGAAATGGCTTCATGGAGGAATCCACATAAATCTCCATGGTGACCATTTTATTCTCTCTTTTGCAGCTTGTTTGGAAACAAACTGCGTGACCATGGAGTGCTGACCCTGTTGAATGGAATTGCTGAGCTGCAGGAGCAAACAGCAAGAGCTGCTGCTGCCATCCAGCAGGCCATGCTCTTCCCATCCGAGCAGAATATGCTTCTTCAGCTCCCCACTGGGTGGAGCTCTTTCAGGGTTTTTACGCTTTTAGAACTGGATATTGGGGGAAATGGCTTGAGCAGCGACGGTGTGAAGGTGTTAGCATCATATATGAAGCACCACTCATGCCTTCAGTACTTGGGGCTTGCTCAAACCAGCGGTGCTGATCTGGCGGCGTGGAAGGAGCTTTTCGACAGCCTCAAAGGAAACAGCTCCCTGTCTCAAATCATCTTAGACGAGAACAACTTGGGAGACCCAGGGGTCAGGCTGCTGGCCGACATGCTGAAAGAGAACTTGAGTCTGCGACAGGTGGATCTGGACAGGAACGGCATCAGTGACGTGGGAGGAAACGACATCATAGGGGCGTTGCTTTGCAGGATACAGTTCCCACTGAGCCATCTGAGCCTTCATGAGAATGACATCAGTGCAGGACTAATGAGTAGGATACAGGAGGAGGTAAAATGGAAATGAATGGAGTGGAGGAATGCACTATAAAAACCTAATACCCCTTTTCCACCTTGGCAGTTCCACGGTGAGTTTAGAGCCAGAGCCCAATTGCAAAAAACATTTTTATGTTTCCACTGTGACGGCTCTTGGCCCCAAAGATTGGTTCAACTTCACCACCAACATTTTGCCTGGCACAAAGAGTCAAGTGCTTCATATGTAGGAAATTTACGTCAGAGCCAGGGACTGGATTTACGTGAGCAACAACAGTTCATGGCGAGTACAATGAGTAGAAAGGTGTTGCAAAAGTTGTGCTTGCTATTTAATGTGGCTTTGTAAGTAAAAGAGCAAAAATAATAAACAGCTCGAAAGTAGTTTGCAATGGCTGTTGGCTTTGCTGGGAGAGCAGCGACATAAGCGGAGACGTCAGGCTCTAAAGTCTAAACCATGGAAAAGCATAATGGCTCTTAAGGTGGATTGCAAGTTGCAACTACAAACGGAAAATTAGACTCATTGTGGAACTGGATAAACAGGGAATAAAGAACTCATAAGATCTTTTGTTTACATTTTGAGGTCAGAAAGAAAAAAATAACAGCCTGACTCACTCGACATGTTTGACCTTCAAACACACACACAAAGGTCTCGTCCTTCCTACAAGTGGGTGGCCCCGCCAACAATTTGCCGCATCTTAGTTTAGCCCAGGCAGGTAGTGTGGGAGGCGTGTTTGCTTTAGAGCTGCACCGTGGTCTGGATGCATTTTCAAAGACATGAACTGAACCTTTCTTCTTTGTGGTGAGGTTTCATCTTTACCTTGAGTTTTTTTTCTTCGTCTTCCCACCAGCGTTATCACTCCTTACTTCACACCTCCTACTGATTCTAGCATAGGGCTGATCGCTGTGTCATTTTATTGAATAATTTACTGACAAAAAAGAAACCAGTGATTCATTCCACCCACAGTTTTTACAGGTCATGGATGACTTACCCACAACGTTTTTCTCCCCTAGAACATTTCAGTACTCCTTTCTCCACTTCTACAAATCAAAAGAGTGTTATGTACAGCTAAGCTAACGTCAACTACCCTCATTTTGTCCTTCCTGTGTCTTTGTATGCTATACAGAGCTTCAATTGAGAATCCAAGCATTGGGGTGGGGTGGGGGGGACAAACTAGGGCAAATGTATCTGTATTTTCAAGGCTGTCATCTCATTGTTCTATCAACACAGACATTCTGAAAATAACTGTACCTGTGATCAAAGCTTGTCAAAGGGGTAATTATCTCCTCTTCTCAAGGCTGCCAGTAGTGACTCTGCTGAAACCAATCCCTCCGTGTTTCATCTGCAGTCTTTGCAAATTCCTTGCAGTAGAAGAACTCCGATAAAGACGAAGCCCCGGGAGGATGACAGATAAATGAGAATGGTGCACCTGAAGATTACATCTGCAGAACCTGTATCAGTCTGAAAAAGCTTTGTGGTGTTGTGGTGCCGTACATTCAAACTCTAAAGATATAGTCTAGGTCTGGGTGTGTTATTATGTCAAATGGATTATTTGCAACTTTAGTCATGGACACAAGACAGGTAAAATGTTGATATCAGCACTAAAAGAGTCCAACTTTCTTTTCTGTTTGACTTCATCCTCTAAGATCTCAACAGCTACATTTGTAGTTGCGGTTGAACATAAACCTAAGTGGTACACCATCATGCCTGGCTGAGCACAAGCTGGCAAACAAGAGGCTCACTGTAATTCACAGACCTCTTTCGATAAGGCCTTGGTGCTTTCTCTGTTACAAGTAAAACTCGGATCAGTGACCCCTTTGTCTGTCTGCTCATGTTATCTGTGTTTGCCCTGAAACAAATCCTGCTGTGTTGCTAGCTTCTTTCAACTGCTCTTCCAAAACACAGCCTTCAATCACAGAAGCTCAATCTGTTAGGAATTTACAGGTTTGCTTGAGAAACAGTTTCCCCTTTCAGGCCCTTGTAGGTTACTGTATCGTGTCTCCTGGAGCTTTAGCTTTACAGTGAGGCCTGGCTAGTGCTGCAGTATCCACTGACGTACAGGCCAGAAATAATCAGGTCCATTCATAGGTGTTTTAATGATAAGAACAATATGGCTTAAAGGTTAACTGTTACTTATCTTGACTTGTAAAACAAGGACTTTCTTCTTCTTACAGCTGCAAAGAAGCATAGATTCATCTGATCCACAGAGGAAGTCTCAGACAAATGATGCTGGGCAGTCGCAAAGACGGAGAGAGGAAATACAGTTTCTTGGCTTTGACTTAGGAGCAAGAACAAAACAAATGAAGTGAGCAATTGTTACTTATCTTCATGGTTACTTCAGTGATTCAGACATTCTTTAAGTTTCCAGGGCAGGGCGATGCAATTTATTTCTACTTACAGTATACAAAGGGTCAGTATCTGTTTGCAGGGCCATTAGCTTTTGATGTCTTTGCAATAATGTTGCTTCAGAAACAAACAGGTAGGGCAACGCTTTTACACTTTACCAAAGTAAGTGAATTAATTTTGATATTGGTTGAGCAGAGCGGCTGTGGCTTGCTTCTAAATCTTATTGTGTCTGAACTAAATATAAATGAAATGTAATAACATATTTTATTATCGATGGCCATTATGAAAGGCTGTCCTTAACACCAAACGGGTACGAGGTTCAGCAAGGGAGCCATCAGGTAAAAAAAGATATTAGCCAGCAATAAGTAATCGGTATTTATTTTCTTTAGTTCCAGGCTATATTGTTGTTGTCTGAGAAAAGGCCTACAGTATAGCCAATGGACAATGTTTGATTTTAAATCAGCAGCAGCATGCTATAATCAATTGCTATGATGATATTCAAGTCTAATAACGGCTCTTATTTTATTAAGAGTTATAATGTAAAAGCACAAGTAACCTACTTTGTAATAAAGAATACTATACTCCTTATAAACATGGCTTGAGGATGTCATGCCTATAAATAGTTTCTATAAATAAACACAGATGATATTTGACCAGTATACTGGCAGGATAATTGAAACAAACTCCAAACGCTATCTGGATCAAAGCAGCCTTAATTGAGGCAGTTTAGACAAGTAGTATTGAAACACATTTCAAAATAAACAACACAAGGACATTTATGCTTCTTTGCTTCTTCATTTCCACCACCAACAAAAAGAACATCAGTGTTCTGGGACTGACTGTATCGGATACTTTTGGAGGATAATCCTCTTTGAGGATCTGAGCCATGGAACAGTCTGAGTCAGCATACGACAAGAGGGAATAGAAGGGCAGGGGTGTGTATTTTGTGTATTTTCAGCCCACATTTAGAAAGCCAGGTGGTGTTTATATGTTTACGGAAGCTTGGGGGCGTTGGAGCTCTGTCGGAACAGCAATCTCTCTGTTTGGACCTTTAAAAACAGCTCTGTACGGACTGCAGGCAAACACTTACTTGTTTCTGTCAAAATCAGATGTCTTTTTAAAACGTTTTTTGTTAATCAAATACAATTGTGTACATGTTGTATGCCCTGAAAAGAAATCTTGGCTTTGTGGCTTGCTAAATGGAATCATTGCCATGTTTAAGTCAATGCTAAGATAATCAGCTCTTGAGTAACAGCTCAGTAGATTTTCTAGTGTTTTTATCTTCTCAACTGTTACAGTAAACAGTGAGAAGGGAGCAGCAAGTTGATGTTGGCTCTTAGTGCATGCAGTGCAGCAGAGGATGAATGTGGAGAGGCCTGGCTGAGGATGAGAGTGAAGGTTTTTTGATTTATGAGATGTAGCACTGAAGCAGGATATCTTTGTGGGGTCTCTCCATACCAGATCCCCCATTGCTGTCTGGAATAGGATAGCAATTAATAGACTGCATTCTGCTGTGATGACGCATGCATAGCTACAGTTTCATTATTAGTACAGTTAGGGTTGTATTTGATATGCCAACCGCATTTAAACCAATGTTTCCCAGCTACTTAATGAGTCAAAACACACATGTAATGGGATGATTAATGGGATAGAGAATAGAACACTTTTCATCTATATACATTGCAATGTTCAAGCTATATCCCTTCAGGTTTCTAAAAACAATTAGGGCAACTTAATGAACCTTATTTTTTGGATTATGCAGTGCCATAAAAGGACATACAAATCCACTTAAAATGCGGAATAATGACAGTGAAATTGTAATTAAAACAGTGTAGAGGGCAGACCCTTTACCAAGGCCATGAACTACCTTGCAATTTTAACACAAATGTTTAATTATACATTTAGTTTCCCCTTAACCTTTTGACAAATAGACAAACCGAACTGATAACATGACCTCTTAAAGTTAAAGTAAAGTGAATAATAAAGAGAGAAAAATGGATAAAGGGCATAGTCAGTCCATTATAATGGTAGTGGAATACATGAGAATATAAATCTAATGCCACAGTCTTTGAACTCTTCAGATGACAAACATCTGTATGTTCAGTTCACCCTGCATTGCCCTATTCACTGCAGTATGTGACAGCATTGTGAGGATGATGAATGAAAAGTTGTAGGGTCTGCTTCTTGAACAATGGCTCCCGCTGCTGTTTGACATTTGGCAGAAAGAGAAGCTTTTCAATATGGATTATTCATCAGCGGTTTGATCCTCCACTCAAATGTCACCCCAACAATGCCTCTGGCTTGGCAATTGGGTATGTTTCTCTGCAGCTCCGCAGGGTAGGATCTTGGCAATAATTACCACTTATAATCTGGCCTTCAGAAAGATTCAGACTCTGCTGCTTCTTAAATTATGATTATTAACATTTTATTAAGAAGTAAGGAAATTAATTAGAATTTTGGTTAACCACATGAGTGCAGTGTTGTGCTCTGCTCTAAACTATGTGTTTTAAATAAGTTGTAAGCAAAACAGATGCCTTATGGAAGAAATGTTTAACTAATGCAGCACGCCGGTGCCTCAGATGACTGACTGATGTAACAGAGCTGGCCACAAAGGAAATATAAAATGTGTTCACTTAACATGGAGCCTGACCACAAAGACATAAGCCAAAACACACATTTTTGCATGGACAATCTAATGAAACCTGATTTGAGCTGGAAAGCTTTTTCACATGCACTTAAAGGAGCAACCTTTTTCTGTTTTGTGCTAAGAAGCGATTTGTCTTTTTTCTGTAAAGGCAGCATTTGTCATTTAACCTGGATTCCTAAATTGTATGACAATTACTCAAACATATGAAAACAAACACTTGATGTAAACTTATACATATTGAATTGTTATGGTGAATTAATTTTTGCGGAGGATGCAGATTGATACATTGGGAAAACACAAAGAAAATGTATTTTAGTCAAATATTCAGTGTTTATTTAAATCCAGTTCTCAAGGAAAATGTCGTTTTTTTCAAAAGATTAGCCCCCTGCTGAAGTGCCAGTCAAGGTGAGAGTAGCGAGATCGAACCAAGACTGTACACTTGTGAGTTGAGAACCAAAATAATGACCTTAAAGCTAAACCGCTCCATAGAGCTGAGGGGAAAATCTCTTTGCTTCACTATTCGCAACCACTGTCACATTATAGACAGTTGTCATATGATAATAACAAAGTATTTGTAAGAGATGCCTTAAAGAAAAACTCAATCGTTGCAAATGTCCTAGTTGTATTCTTAATGTCTAAGTCTTAGTATATAAATAATTGAAAATAAAGAAAAGATGCATATTTAAATAACATAGAAGCATCACATTTATTTTGCATTTGTGTGAGAACAATTACTTTATCAATTCTCTGGCAAAATTCCTTATTTAGTGAATGTTTGTTTCAGCTCTTATTTATTTGTGTTCATGGTTTGTCATTGGAGATCAGTAACAGTTATGTAAGCCTTAAACCTTATCAAAACAATCCCATTAGTAGAAGTTATGCAGTTCCATCCTGAGGCAGCAACATATTAAAAACAGGCAGATAGTGTTATATCACTCTTATTTGGACTTTCCTGAATAGAATGAATGGAACTGTTCTCTAAATGCCCTGTTGTAATGTATGGAATGGGTAAACACAGCACCGCGGCACGCTCTTATTGGATCCAGCTGTGGATGGACAGACGCTGCTGCATTCAGCTGGCCCCAATTCCCCACGACATGGGAGTAAACAAAAGACCCTGTGTTGATCAGATAAGAGATCCCATCACTAGAGCAGGACAAGAAAAAGAACATTTGCTATTTTCAATGTTCATTATTTTGAGACTTGGTATAAGAAAAACGAAGGAGGAACAACCTACAGTTATCCTAATCCACTCTGTCTTTTGATGTTTTACCAATCTTTGAAATGACAGTCACAGGCAAAGGAATAAATCATCGCAATACTTGGACTGCACACAACCAAATGTGGCTCATAAATGGTGTGACAGGTCTATTAACTAAAGATGATTCATTTTGTATTGGGTACCCATTTAGTTTGACAATGTCTGCAGAAAGATCCTCCAATTTCCTGCAGACACTGAACATCCAATATCCAGCGTAATGTCCGAGCATCAAGGCCAGCTGACTTCCATTACCCACCACCGCTCTGGAGTGAAAACAGTCACAGCGCCTATCCACACCTGTCAATGGTTATAGACTGGGTCCAGGATGGCACTCATATGTGATGAGTGGAAGACCATTACTTTATAAAACGCCAAAAGAGAAACGTGCCCCCAGATATCTCTAAACAAATACATCTTTCCTCAAGAGCTCTTTCAGGTTTTCCATGAAACAGGATTTTAGCTTCAATTAAACTTGGAGAATAGTATTTACTCTGATTAGAATGAGATTCTAATTCAACTGTTATCAAGTGGGAAATCGGTCGTAAAATCGCGTCAACATTGCCCTTGGCGCAGCGTCCTAAAGGCCAACATTGCTTTAAATCTTTTTCATGTCAAGGACCAATTGACCATTTGTATTTTAAATAATTATTTAGAGAAACTAATTGAAAAAGAAGAAAAAAGATTTCCCTAAAAAATATTTAGGAACATGTTTGGGGACAAAGTCATGACAATGTTTTGAAAAACAGGAATGATAGAATGAAGCATCTGTGAGATATATCTGCTGTTTTGGGCATTCTTGAAGAGAGTTAACTACAAAACGTAGATCGAAACTAACAACTTTCATGTGAGGTTATATAAAGCTACCATCTATCTAGTTAGCTTAGCTTAGGACAAAGAATGTAAACAGCTTGCAAGGCTCAGTTACAAAATCTGCATACCAGCACCAAGCAACTGGGTCAAAGCACCTAGTGCTGAATAACAAAGAGTTATATTCCATACTTAGCTGGGAGCAGTGTCTTCTTAATTCACATCAAGTTTTACCACTTTAGCTTTTGTAAGTATTCAACAAAAGTGTTCATTATTTTAGAGGCTCCGTTGGACAGAGCCAGGCTGTTACCAGTGTTTATGCTAAACTAATCTATGCATCTGCTGTTTTATCAGCAGAAGTTGTATCACCTTCAACAGAAAGTGATATAAATCCTTTTATTCAACTATTGAACCTTGAACAATTGAATTCAATGATTCTTTCTTCTAAACCATCAACGTGTATCTTAGACCCAATTCCAACTGCTGTTAAAGGAAGTGTTTCCATTAATTAGAACTTCTTTATTAAATATTATGAATATGTCTTTATTATCAGGCTATCTTCCACACTCATTTAAAGTAGCAGTGATAAAACCTCTTCGTAAAAAGAAGTTATTGTACTCGGCCCAAAGACTCTACGAAACAAAGGATCAAAAGATATGTTAACAATGGATGGCATTCATTTGGCCTCCAGTGAGACTGTAAGGAATCTTGATGTTATATTTGATCAGGATTTATCTTTTAACGCCCACATAAAATCAATCTCAAAATCCGCCTTCTTTCATCTACGCAACATTGCAAAAATCAGGCATATCTTGCCTCAAATCGATGCAGAGAAACTAGTCCATGCATTTGTTACTTCTAGGCTGGATTATTGTAACTCTTTATTATCAGGGTGTACCAAGAAGTCAGTTAAGTCGCTTCAGCTGATTCAAAATGCTGCAGCTCGTGTACTAACCAGAGTTAGGAGTTAGAGTCTGGCTTCCTATAGAACACAGGATATAATAAAACATTCTTCTTCTCGCCTACAAAGCCCTTAATGGGCAGGCGCCATCTTACCTTAAAGAACTCATTATACCCTACTGTCCTACTAGGGCATTGCGTTCCAAGAATGCAGGGTTGTTAGTTATTCCTAGAGTCTCTAAAAGTACAATGGGAGCCAGAGCCTTTTCTTATCAAGCTCCACTTTTGTGGAATCAGCTTCCAGTTTGTGTTCGGGCGGCAGACAGCCTATCCGTTTTTAAGAGTACGCTTAAGACCTTCCTTTTTGATAAAGCTTATAGTTAGGGCTGATTAGATTCAGCGCCTAGTTTTGCTGCTATAGGCTTAGACTGTCGGGGGACACCTTACTTCTTCCTTCTCTCTGTCTGTACCTGTGTACTCTCATATTCCGAATAACCCAGCTTCCCCCAAACTTCTTTTTGGTGTCTATCTACGCTGGGATCCTGAGTCGTGGCTGATCCTGAGTCCTGATTCCTGATCTGAGTCCTGGATCTCGAGTCGTGGATTTCGAGTCGTGGCTGAACCTATGTGGTCCTGCCTGACCTTCATCATACTACTTCTCTGACGACTCCCACAGGATTGTTGACATCCTTGTGGATTCATCTTCTTATTATAGACACATGCATTGCCAAACATTTGGTCTACCTATGTTGTACATTTATTAGCTTTTCGATTTACACACGGCATCTACTGCACGTCTGTCCGTCCTGGGAGAGGGATCCCTCCTCTGTTGCTCTCCCTGAGGTTTCTCCCATTTTCCCCTTTAAACGGTGGGGTTTTTCCTTTTTTGGAAGTTTTTCCTTTTACGATGTGAGGGTCTAAGGACAGAGGGTGTCGTATTGTCACACTGATATTCTGTACAAACTGTGAAGTCCATTGAGACAAATGTAACATTTGTGATATTGGGCTCTATAAATAAACATTGATTGATTGATTGCCAAGAAAAGAACATAAGCCTTTTTCCCAAAATATTTAACCATGCCTTTAAACTATCCCTCTCTTTACTCGCCCGCCCCTGGTGCCTTCCACGACAATTTGCAGTCTCTGGGCCACAGTCTGTAGACCACTTCCATAGGCTGCTGCAATAATCATTACAAACCCCATGAAACGTTACACCCCAGATTGGAGATCTTCCTCTGCGCTCTTCCACAGGCTGTGGGGACATTGCCCTCCTTGTCAGTGAACTAAAACTTGTGGTAACAAAAACTGACATCCGACGCAGCTCATACAGGTACATGGGAAGTTGCTCTTTCAAGGTGCTGAGCTGCCTTCCTTCCTGGCCCTGCAGGACGGGCTGAGAGGGGGCTCTGTGTGAGGAGGAGGGATCCAGTTGCAGGCAGCTGAATCGCTGCTCTGTTGGGTCTCCCCTGGACACTGTCATAGCGTGTTTGCTAAAGGCGGGTCAATGAGGACTTTCTTTGGCAGAAGAATTTCACAGCACACGACAGCACACACACTGGAACCAGTGAGCCCCCCTGTAACCCAGATCTCTGCTACTCGGGTGAGAACGGAAGTGGATGTTGGTGTAGCAGGAGGTGGAGTAAAGCTGTCACAAAAAGCTAATCTATTGGCTTAGCTTTTAGGTTGATTAAAAGGAATAAGTAATTTGTTATAAGTCAAATATGTCCATCATATTTGAATGATGGTTTTACTGTAAACGCTATACCACCTCTCACACAGGAAATAAATACATTTCAAAAAGAGCCAGTGTAGTTGTTAGATGACGCAAAAGGTCTTCACATTTTTAGTTGGCTTTGGTTGTATGTTCTTTCCAAGGTCATGAATGAACTGTCATGCTCCTCTGACTAATTTCTGTATTAACTGTAAGTTTATATATGCTATTATCGGTCAAATTAACATGTTGTATAATTGTTTTAAATTATAATTGTATTGAGGCAAAGTAACCTAGACAACTATTAATGTGCAAATTATTAAAAATATCAGCCAAGAAACATCCTGTTTCAGTAGGAGCAGAAGTATTGTACAACAACAACAAAACAATAAGAAAATGTTCAAAGTAAGAAATTCTACATCTTATACCACATCCCCAGTTTGGTGGAGCTTCAGTTCAAGTGCATAACAATGAACAAGTTGCACAACCCTCTCTAGTTTTAGAGAATAAACCATGTTTTGGAAAGGTGTTCAATTTCAATAGGCTAAAACTATATTTATTGCTTTAAGGGCAATAGTGTTATATTGCCATGTTTACATTATGAAGGCCAGGAAAATTCTACAGTAGACATTTTACACAGCTGACATTTTCAACTGCAGTATGGAAAGCACAGGTGTCACTAATAACATCACCAAAGGAGGCTTCGAGAGAGATTGGACTCATAGTCAAAATGATGTTTGTAGCTTGCACACACATTAATGTATTACCATACATGACGAGAACCTACTGCATGTTTGACCTAGCAACAACTGCTTCCTAAGAGACCCCCCTTCAGCTGAAGAAGCTGAAGCTGCACCGTCTCTGCTTAAATCTGTTTCTCTCGATGTCAGCTGAGTGCGACAGAGGGAGGTGTTCCCCCTTTCCCGGTTCTCAAGATTTTCCTCAGTCCACAATAAACTTTCATTTTGGGAAGTCCACACATACACACAGTGACAACGGCGGTCGTCATCTTGTCCTGCAACAGTTCCCCGGGAAAGCCGGACTAGATTTGACTGGACATTCATTGTACTTTTAAAAACGCGCGAAAGGAAGAAGGAAAACACATTTGAAGCGCACAGGTGGAGTTCTCCGGAGCGTCTTTTTGTCAATCTGGTGTCATCTTCTGAGACTTCAGGGACATACAGATACAAGACAATGACAGAAAGCAGCATTTCCACTGCAGGTTAATCCCGCTTTTGTTGGTTTGTTTGTTTCATTGCACGTTCAATCCTCGCGCGAGCCTTTTGAAACACCTGGAATGGAAAAACTTTTTCTGCTTCGTCTGGACTGTGGTAAAAAAACTCCCAAGAAAGAATGAAGTAACCGCAATGGAGCCGGACAATGCCCCGTACTCCAAACTCAAATGCACTGGAGTCGGGGGGTAAGTCTACACCTTTTATATTTCAAAATGAAGTATCTTTTTTCTGACCTTCTTTTATCGGGTTCAATATGGAATCATTCATGTGCTCGTGAACATCACCTGCGACTTGATTAGTGTGCATTTGACAGTGCTAGTCCTGAAAGGTTGCTAGTTCCATTTATATAAGTTACGTGTTGCAAACGATATTCTGAGACAAAACACACATTTAATGTTATTATTTATAGTCAGTTACAGACAGGTGGTTGCAGGATAGTTCATGGAAACATATTTGATCTGCTCTTTAGACAGTTCATTGGAAGCTCGTGCAGTCTGTTCTACTGTTCCTGAGCTTGTGTCTGTGCAGCTTGTACCAGAGTGAGCTGCCAAACGATCTGGGACTCATTTGAGGGAGATGTATGAGAGGAGGAGACAACCCTATCCTCCACCCTTTTCTCTCTCCTCCCAGCTGTGCATCTCACTCAGCTGGTTGGCCCACTGTCCCAATGGGAGGGGAAGTACAAGTCAACATGTTGCATCATATAACCACCCCTTGATATATGAGAAACTTCACAAACTGAACCCCCTCCCCCTTTCCTTAGTGTTTATGCTAATGTCAGAGTGAGGCAGTGAGTAGGATTATTTTTTTAAAAGCTCCAACCAGCAGTCAGTGTGTCAGTGGTTGACCAGTGGCTTCCTGCGGCTCTCTGCGGAAAACCACTAGTGTGATTTCCCATAAGTTGGTTATTTTATGTCACTGACCCCGGTTCACTTTGAACATAACTTGCCCCAGTCCAGTTTCACATACTAAACAACTAAATTATTAGCTCCTAGTGTCAAGACCCAACAGTAAGATGTGCTAATACATTCACACTTGTCAGCGCTTGTTCAACACATTGATTTGACATTTATTTTCCTTCAATTCAGTTTGGTGTGCCTGCACCTTTTGGTTCCAAAACATCTCTCTACGTGTCAGCAATCGACACTCCTGTTTCACCTTTCTTCTTATAAATAAATGTCACAGACAAATCAATGTTGCAAAAGAGCTGTTTATTGGCTGACAAGATGATAAATGTCACTGTTGTCATGTGAAAACAGTTGGGATCTAATTCCTGTTGAAGGATACCATTTTATTTTTTTGGGTGCGCTGAGTGTCTCATGATAAGTTTTGCTTGGATTTTCAGTGCCCTTTCACTAGTCCTTCAATCAATGCAACATAAAGGCAATCAGTAATCAATACAGCAAGACATACAACATTTAATTCTGAAGTATCCAAATGAAATACTAAACTTTCAGTTATCAATGATGACCAATTAAAATAAAATGGTGTTCAGTAGCATAGTTTATTATATCTAAGTGACTACACACTTGTATTTTGTACCTGTATTGTGGCCAAACAATTCACAATAACAATACTATTGCAATATAAATCAGTCATTTTCATCCTTTTCACCTAAACTTGGTTTATTGTCCGTTAAGTTTCCTCTTTTGGGACTCAAATGACAAGGTGTAGCAAGGTGGAGAGAGAGCTTGTTACCATTAAGTGTACAAAAGCATATTTATGTGGCGCTGGATTATTTGCATGATAAATTGTGGCATGGGTAAATTACATATGTTACCTTGTCCCAATCTTTCACTTTGAATGGTATGTTTTAAGGTGATGCAGTGTATATATCCTTTTTTAGAGGTGCTCTCAGGCCGCCCTGCAGAGCAGTAGCTTATCTGGGTCAGGCAGACAGGAGATAAGACACAGCTTGTTGTCTGAAAACAGATGTTAGGCTCTTTGAACACAGCAGAGACACTGCTGCTCCTCTCATACAGATCTGATCACTGTGGGAGTTGCAAGTACAGGAGTTAATGGCATCTGTGGGTTAAGTATTTTACTGTGCCAGTTTCGTATGTATTAACTTAGACTTGTTCTGCAATGAAGACTTCAATAAATGAATGAGCATAAACCATTGTTTGTAACGCCGGATAAAATAATGCGTACAGTTTTAGGAGCTGTGGCTACATTGGACGGAAGTGTATCATTGCTTTTGACATTTTACAGACCAAACAATCAAAGCATTATTGAAAGATTTATCCAAAAGCTCTCTGTACTACCTGTCATAACACCTTGTTTTGTTGTCTTTCTCTTTAGGAGATTTCTGATTCTTTGGACTATACTCTGTTGCACCTGCTCTCTAAAGCTAGCACACGCACAAGGTAAGCAACACGCAAGGCCAACGATGGGTTAATGTTTGGTTTCCTTTTCACACAAACACATTGTCGTGTAGGTAGTGTCACAAATGGGCCTTACAGACAGTGTTGGAAAGAGGAAATTAAAAGTGATGAATGGGAGGTATGTCCTGTGCACTAGGACTTTTCAGCTAAACTTGGTAATAAGATCATTATATTATATAAGTTCAATGGCTATAAAACACAAAATAGAAAAATAAAAGTGGAAATAAACACTGTAAGCAATTGCAATCCCCAAACACGGCCTCCATGTGAAACATAAAAAATAATCTTAAAGTAGGGCATTGTTTGTACTTATGAAACATTTAATTTAAATGGCCCAATGAAAACAAGTAAAGCCCCCAAAAGTCACATACCCATAAGTATACAAAATGTCATAAAAAATGTTTCCAAGGTGTCACATTACCCATCTTAGATGATTCCCAAAGTATTGTCTGCAAACAATGCCCTCTTTCTCACGTAGACACACTTGTAGCTGTGCCTTGATGCTTGATGCAGTCATCCTGCTGTTACACCATTTTAAGATCTGTGTGCATGTCTGATCTAACTGTCAATCAAAGTCTGGCAGATTTATTTCAATATGCCTTTTGATAATGTGACCCACTTTGCTTTGTGACAGCTGTTTTTTGGCAACTTCTCTCTAATCCTGCCTTCATCAGGGTATGAACAATGTCCAGTGAGACATGCTTTATATGTATGGAGGAGGGATGTGTTTATTTGCGAACTCAGATGAAGGTTGGCCCTCAATATATCAACATGATTTGTCAGATAAATAGTCTGTTTTCTACACGTTTCAGTAGAAGCAGTCAAAGTCATGCACATGGAAAGTGACTCCAATCACAGGCTATTGTATTCCAACTGTTTCAGTGCTGGTGACCGTACTCCAGTGTATTTAAGGCCTGACCTAGTATTGGCACACTGCATTCTTTACTCTGCACTCATTTCTAACACAAGGGCCGCAACTCCTACATGTTGACCTCTAGAAAACAAAAGCAAACTTAACTTTAAATATGCACAGGCCGTTATAATTAAGGAAAATACATGCATAAACTGCATACACATTTTATCAGAAGGGTCATCAAGGTCAGCCACATTGCAGCATTACAGTAGAAAGATATGAGACCATTTGCATAACAATGATGATAGTAAATAATTAACTTGCATAAAGACAAATAGCCTGTTAATGCAATCACTGATGTAAGAAATGGCGATGTCCCATTGCTCACTCTTTTTTCAAAACAAATATCATTCATTTGATTGTTAGTGAGACAACTTTGGACTGGGTGTCAGCATTTTGTAATATCCGCTGGCTAGTAGATGCAACAATGTGCTGAGTCAGAGGCCGGACACTCACTCCCTGTTTCTTGAGAAAAAGAAGGAAGGATGCAGAGTTCTTGGAATACATTGTGTTGGGATGTATCTAGTTCTCTTGAATGTTCAGAATAGGGCTGCACGATTTTGGGAAAAAATCTAATTGCGATTTTTCTGACAAATATTGCGATTGCGATTCGATTTGCGATATTTGTTTTTAAGCGACCCAACGGAAGTTTATTGTAAAATGGGGCCATATCTCCGGCTAGGAAGGTCGCATCAGCATGCTCCCGTCTCTAGCACCCCCGCAGCCCGAGCTACGAGTGAAAGAACTAAACTTACATGAAACTTCCGTTGGGTTGCTTTAAAGTCAAGCTTCAGTTTAAGATTCACCCTGTAATAGATGTAAAACATGTGATGGAGCATTACTAACCTGACTCAGATGGTTTTGTTCACCAAACCATCTAAGGAAAACTCCAATTGGAAGGGCGCGATTTGAAAGGCAGCGCACTTTCAAAAATACTTTGCAGGCTGTTGGATCAATCCTGTCTATCACCTTCTATCATGGCGCAGCTTCTGATTGTTAACAATGGCTGGTACATGTGAGCCACAGCACTTCTGATTGATGCTGGAGTGACTGACACAAGAGAAGAAAAACATTAAAAATAATAATAATAATGTTAAAGAAAAAGGCATACTCATATTGGAAATACATGAGCCTCTTCTTCCTTTCTGAGAACAGTTGTGTTTTCTGCTTCTGTTCTCTGGCAGTGCTTTTGTCTCTATTTTTCAGTTGTTAGATTGTATCCCGCAGCTCATCAGGAGTTCATAAAGCGCCTAGGCAACCGGTCTAAACCCCGCTAAGACTTAGATACTGCTGCTAAGGCCTGAAAAGTAGTTCAAAATCACAGCACATGAAAGAACAATTAGCTTTCTTCATACGCATATTAACAATTCAAAATGAGTGCTATGAATTCAGCTGAATGAAAATCTCTT